GGGTAAGGGTTCCAGGCAGAGGGCAAAGCCCTGAGGGAGAGTGAGCTTCACACGTTTGAGGAACATCAAGGAGGCCCTGTTTTTTCCTACGTCATACTGTGATGAGCACTTTTTAAAAAATTGTGATAAAATATATATAACATAAACTTTACCATCTAGACCATTTTTAAGTATACAGTGCACTGGCATTAAGTATTGTGCAACCATCACCACGATCCATCACCAGCACTTTTTTCATCTTCCCAAACTGAAACTCTGAACCCATCCAACAAGAACTCCCCATTCCTTCCTCCCCAACCCCTGGCAACCACTATTCTACTTTCTATGTGATGAGCACTTTAAATGCATTATCTCATCAAAACAACTGTAGGCCATAGGTTGAACTAGTATCTCCATTCTACAGATGGGCAAAGTTAGACTGAATGAACTGTCTCAAATCACACAGCGAGCAGGTGGAGGGAGGCCTCAAATCACAGTTTTTCTCACTCAGGCTCCCACTCTGAACTCCCTGCCTGGTGGGGGTGAAAGATGTCAGGCTGCTGCCCCTCTGACAGCCTGGAGGTGAGCTGGGAGGGTTTAGTGTGGATTACAGACAATGTAAGAAGTTTCTCTTGTTGGGATGGGAGGGGGCCTGCTGCACCCAATTTGTCCTGTCTGTCTGGAAGGAAGGGGCTGCTGCCCAGACACAGGGATCAGGGGTGGAGGGGAAGGTAGGTGACCAACATCCACTATACTCCTTTTCCACGTCTCTCTTCTGACCTGTCTTTCAAGGGATGCTCAGCTGCTTTGCATGGATGAGCCCAGACACCTTCAGTGCTTGGTATCCAGTCAGCCAAGCAGCACTACCAGCACTTATTAATTACTACAGGTAGTACATAACATGGCACTAGGCGCTGCAAAAAGAATCACCCAGAAACTGCACATGTCATAGACAGTTATACAGCAGACATCAGAATGAAAAAGCAAAACAAAAGGATGCCAAGATGGGACTGGGCAGTAAAGTACAGTACCTGGCTCACACCTAGTGCCAGAGTAAGTATATTTTTGAGGATAGGGTATGTACGAAATTAGGACAGAGTAGCTCTATTTGTTGTAGCTGGGGCCATGATGACCT